CAGCAGTTATTCCACCCCTACCAAAAGGATTTCCGTTTACATTAAAAAAGCCAAAACCAAAACATCAAACTGAATTTCAAGACAATATTTTGAGAGATAATTTGATTTTAGATGAAGTGATTGGTGAAGGTGAATTTGGTTCAGTTTATAAAGGAACTTTCCAAAACCGAGATGGTTTTGAAGAAAAAGTAGCCATTAAAATGTTAAGATACGATATGTCTTCAACTAATAAATCAGAATTTTTACGCGAAGCTCATGTCATGATGAGTTTAAACCATGAATGTATTATAAGATTGATAGGTATATGTGAAGGGCCACCATTGTTGATGGTTCAGGAGCTCATTGCACTCGGTTCTATGTTGACTCACATCATCACTCACCCTGAACTCATCAGTCCAAATTATGAGTTAAAAATGTGGGCAGCTCAGATAGCTTCTGGTATGTGTTACTTAGAACAAAAACGTTTTGTGCACAGAGATTTGGCAGCTAGAAACATTCTTTTAGCAGATAGACACCAAGCCAAAATTAGCGATTTTGGTCTGTCACGTACATTAAATGTTGATAAGGACTATTATAGAGCTTCACATGGTGGACGATGGCCAATCAAATGGTATGCACCTGAATCATGCAATTATGGAACATTTTCTAGTGCTAGTGATGTGTGGAGCTATGGTATAACACTGTGGGAAATGTTTTCTTATGGACAGCAACCCTATGAAAATATGAAAGGTGTTGAAGTTATTGGTATTTTGGAAAAAGGAGAGAGGTTACAAAAACCTCCTAGGTGTCCTATTGAAGTTTACAAAACAATGGAGATGTGTTGGGCATATGAACCCAAAGAACGCCCTACTTTTAGTCAGCTATCAAAAATATTTGCATCTGATTCTGATTATGAGAATTTTAAAGATTTTATAAAACTCTAATATCAACATATTGGGGAAGAAGAAATTAATAAAATCATATTCCTATTAGTAGTAGATAATAAAAATGAACATTTATTTAAAAAAAAATTACTATAATATCTGAATTTTGGGTTTGAAATAGTATAGGAGTTACTAATTTAGAACAACTAGGATTTTACACAAACATCATTGAAAACTATATTTCATTATAATATATTTTATACAATATTTTATTATATAGAATATATTATTGTTATACAACACAAGCCTTTATAAAAAAGGTTTCCAGATATATTTTTGATACAATTTCTTGGAAGTGTTGTAATTTATAATTTTAACTCTCCATAATGGTATTTTTTTTAAATTTATTTTATTATTATACAATTTATACTATGTTGAATTTTAATATTTTTATAGTGTTAATGATATTTAATTACATTAAATGTTAAACGTTTTACATTTTAGTATTATGAATGACAAAAAAAACAATGTACATTTTTATTACATTTTTGATGTTTAAATGTAATTTTTAATAGATTTTAAATTGTCATACCTATTTTAAATCAATTATTTTTTTGTAAGATTCAAAAGTATTATATACAGGGTATCTCATGATTTTAAAATTATAATTAAATAACGGTAATCAAGTTTCTATCGTATTAAAATGACCAAATTATTACACATATCAAAATAAATTATCAGTGCTTTATTTAAAGTTTTGCCTTGTAAAACTAGTAAAATTGAATATCTTCTATTAATCTTATTTGTGTGTGTGTAGTTTTAATTTATATTGATATAATATAATATTAACAAAATTTTGCAACAGTTAAAAGTTTTTTTTACTTCATGTTTTGTTTTAAAGAATTCTATGTTTATTTTATTTGTGTTACAACTATGAACAATTGAAATGTATATTTAAATTTGTATTTTTAAATACTATTTACTCGAATTTATATATTTGAGAGTATGTTGAAACGACCTATTGTCTGATAGTTATAAGTTTTTTTTTTGTATATAAACATAAGACTATTATAATTGAGTTACCCTCATCATACTTTGAAAATTGTTTGCTCAATCCAAACAGTAAACAGAGATACATTGTTGCCATAATAATTTTAGTATATTAGTTGTTTAACTTAAACATTAAAAAAAAAATATAAATTAGAATAATATTATAAGACATTTCAAATATTGTATTAATGCTATTCTGAAACATAAAGACAATCTATTCGTAAACTATTTATTATTTTATTGTACAATAGTCTATACAGTATACTTAGATATATGACTATGTTATTGTTTACTTGAAATTAATATTCTATTTTAATATAATTAAAATTTTTTTTTTATTTCGGTTCTTAGTTACTCATTACTTGCCACATATTTAAGATCCAATTATAATAGTGTATCTGAGTATTGAAGTGCTGAATTATACTTCATAGGTATGAATAATACTGAAAAAAGCGGGTAAGTCGTGTATGTCGCTCTGCTGTACAGTAGGTTACAAGTGGGTTACTGTAATGGATGGAATTAAATTTGAATCCAATGATATTATATCATTGTATACAAAAAACGATTCTGAGCGAAGACGGTTTATCTG